TGACACCCACTCCCTTCCCGCCTCCCGCAGGCAGGCCCTGACACCCACTCCCTCTGCCTCCCGCAGGCCAGGTCCTCCTGTGATTTCTATCACATGTGTACTCTGTACTCGACTGTGCTGCTCACACACTGTTCCTGGTCTGCCTCTGACCAACTCTGAGTTCCTTGAGCCTGGGACCGTGGTTTCCCTTCCTGTATGTGTGGGGCTGGGAGCCTGCCGTCCCTGAGAAAGGCAGAGACATGGAGCCAGTTCTCTGAGCGCTGCAGGGACCTGACAGCCTGGCTTTGAACCAGAGGAGATCAGTACTTCCCTGGGAAGGTCGCCTTGCGGAGAAGGCCCAGCTGCAGCTTCCAGCGCCGGCGGGCAGAGTGCTGAGTTCATGCCTTTAGTGTTGCCAGCGCTGCTCTCTCCGTAGCATAACTGACCACTTTTCTGGCTATAAAATAACGCACAGTCAGAGGGAGAGACAGAAACAGCTTAAAGGATCGAATCCTATTACATAGCTCTCATCACTATTACCTTTTGTTAAATTTCCCGTCAGCCTTTTAAAAATATGCATCTATTTCCACCACAAAGTTGGGACCTTATACTATAAACATTTTACTACCCGTTTTAACATCCAGTTTTTTAATTATGATCGTTTTACTATGTTTTAAACAATCTTCAAGAAAACATTTTAGCAATTGCATAACATGCAGCCATACGGCTGTGCCCTATTTTTTTTAATTGTTTTATTGCTTAAAGTATTACAAAGGGTATTACATATGTCTCCTTTTTTCCCCCGCCCTTGACAATCCCCTGGCCTCCCCTACCCGCCAGTGTCTTACGTCCATTGGTTATGCTTATATGCATGCATATAAGTCCTTCGGTTGATCTCTTACCCCCACCTTCTGCCCCCCTACTCTCCCCGGCCTTCCCGCTGCAGTTTGACAATCTGTTTGAGGCAGCTCTGCCTCTGTATCTATTTTTGTTCATAAGTTTATAATGGTCTTTATTATCCATGAATGAGTAAGATCATGTGGTATTTTTCCTTCATTGACTGGCTTATTTCACTTAGCATAATGCTCTCCAGTTCCATCCATGCTGTTGCAAATGGTAAGAGTTCCTTCTTTTTAATAGCAGCATAGTATTCCATCATGTAGATGTACCACAGTTTTCTAATCCACTCATCTGCTGATGGGCACTTAGGCTGTTTCCAGATCTTAGCTATCGTGAATTGTGCTGCTATGAACATATGGGTGCATATATCCTGTCTGATTGGTGTTTCTGGTTTCTTGGGATATATTCCTAGAAGTGGGATCACAGGGTCAAATGGGAGTTCCATTTTTAGTTTTTTGAGGAAACTCCATACTGTCTTCCATAGGGGCTGCACCAGTCTGCATTCCCACCAGCAGTGCACGAGTGTTCCTTTTTCTCCACAACCTCTCCAGCACTTGTCATTTGTTGATTTGTTGATGATAGCCAGTCTGACAGGTGTGAGATGGTACCTCATTGTTGTTTTGATTTGCATCTCTCGGATGATTAGTGACTTTGAGCATGTTTTCATGTCTCTTGGGCTTTCTGAATGTCCCTCTTTGAAAGGTGTCTATTTAGATCCTTTGCCCATTTTTTGATTGGATTGTTTATCTTCCTTTTGTTAAGTTGTAACATTTTAGCAATTGCATAACATGCAGCCATAAGGCTGTGCCCTATTTTTTGACGGATCCTTTATTGTTGGACATTGGTTTCTCATTTTTGCTGTTAATCACAACAGCAAAGAGACAGAGAGAAATATCGATGTGAGAGGAACACGTCGATTGGTTGCCTCCTGCACAAGCCCTGACCAGGGTGCCAGGGAGGAGCCTGCAATCAAGCCTGCCCGGAGAAGCTCGGAGATCCTTGCCCCTTCTATTTGAGGAACTCTTTTGGACAACACAAATGATTTGATCATTCAGGACAGAACTGCTCTAGAGGAGCTCTGGACAACGGCTAGTGCCCAGCAGTCCCTACAGGTGGTGCTGGGGTGGTGCACCAACAACGAGCGGGTGTGTTCCAGTTGCTGGCTCCGATGCCTTTCTAGGGTAAGCCGTGGCCTGGCTCCTGGGCTCCTAGTAGCGGGAGGCTCCTACCTCCCCGAGCCCCATTGCTTCTGCTGCTCGCTCGCTTCGGACTCTGGCACGAACCCCACCCGCTGACACGGTCCTTCCGGGGAATTGGACGGCGGGATGGCTGCGCAGGGCGCGCCACGCTTCCTCCTGACCTTCGATTTTGACGAGACCATCGTGGACGAAAACAGCGACGACTCGATTGTGCGCGCCGCGCCGGGCCAGCAGCTGCCGGAGAGCCTGCGCGCCACCTACCGCGAGGGCTTCTACAACGAGTACATGCAGCGGGTCTTCGAGTACCTGGGCGAGCAGGCGTCGGCGCCGGACCTGCGCGCCGTCTACGAGGCCATCCCCCTGTCCCCGGGCATGGGCGACCTGCGGCAGTTCGTGGCCAAGCAGGGAGCCTGCTTCGAGGTGATCCTCATCTCGGACGCCAACACCTTCGGCGTGGAGAGCGCGCTGGGGGCCGCGGGCAACCTGGGTTTGTTCGGCGAATCTTCGGCAATGGTGGGGCCGAAGGGCAGGCTTTTGGGGTTTGGGGCCCTTTCCACGCGAAAAGTTTGGGCCGGGGGCGCCCCAAGAAAAATTGTGCAAAGCAAAAAGGGTGTCTCAGGAGCGACTACCTGCGCGAGCGGGCCCAGGACGGCGTGCACTTCGAGCGCCTTTTCTACGTGGGCGACGGCGCCAATGACTTCTGCCCCATGGGGCTGCTGGCCGGCGGCGACGTGGCCTTCCCGCGCCGCGGCTACCCCATGCACCGCCTGATCCAGGAGGCGCAGGAGGCCGAGCCCAGCTCGTTCCGCGCCACCGTGGTGCCCTGGGAGACCGCCCACGACGTGCGCCTCCACCTGCAGCAGGTGCTGGAGGCGTGCTGAGACGGCGGCCTGCAGGGGGCGCCCCGACCAGGAGAGAGGAAGGGAGATCGGGAAAGACAATCTAGTTTTTTAACTTCCTTTCCCTTTCGCTTTGGTATGTCCCCCTTTGGTGTGGAATTTCTAGAATTCCAGGCCCGTCCATTGCGGGCTGAAGGAGGGAGTTCAGAGCAAACGAACGATCCATGCAGTTAAACCAGCGCGGCCGCCCCCCTCAGAGCCACAGCAAACACTTAAATTCTGGACAGTGGCCCAACCCGGGTGACGTGCATTCCTGGGAAGGCAGCAGCGTTTCCTAAAAGCTCGTCCTCTGAACTGGGAGGAAGAGGTTCCCTTGTAGGCGAGAGAACTTTAACGGCTGCCCGCCCGTAACTTCCCCTCTTCCAGTCTTAGGTCAAGGAGGAATCCTCCTACATCGACTCCCCGCGGAGAGAGGAAGCTCTCTGCCGACAGCCCCAGGCCTAGATTTCGCTTCACCTACCCCGATGCCATACTACATCCCTTTTCTTGCCTCCCCTTCCCCGCCCATCCGGCCAGAAACCCAAAGGAAGAAAAGCCAGACGGAACAGTCGCCTCCTGGTGGTGGAACGAGGTAGCACACTGTCTGGCTTGGGTCAGACCAGCCAGGAACCTCGCAGCGGTGCCTCGGTGTCTTCTCATACCCCAGCCTCCTCTATGCAACAAGACCAGGGACAACCAAAGTCACCCCCGTGGGCTGGGCCCTCTGCGGCCCCCTCCTCTCCTATGGAACAGAAAGCCAGGATGTTTTAAATTAAAAACAGCGAAACCCAAGCCCCTCCTCTTTGGTGTTTTAGAAATATTAAAGCAGGTGAAGGGGGATGAGACAAAAAAAAAAATAACACACAAGGATAAACACTCACTGAGGCCCTGCTCAGACCCTGGTTGATTGTAGAGGTGTTTCCAAAGAGGCCTGACCAAAGGCCTTTCCTCTTTCAAAAAGAGACTGTGGCTGGAGATGTTCAGTCACAACTCCTGGGCTATAGAGACGGTCGTTAGTACC